TACTGTGAAATCGTGCAATTGATTGGTCTCTAGTAGTGCACTCAAAGACGCGGGGCTCCATTCCCTTCGACCCCCGTCGCCTCCTTGCTTTACCTTGTTATCCTTTCAGGATGGTAACTAGAGGGATTATTGCGAGAATCTCTGGAATTCCCAAATGGATCTACAGCTCTCACTCATTTTCTTTCTCTCTCCTACTCCTGTGTTTTTAAATTCTCCGTCGATCCTCGAAGGCTTCGGAATCCCGCTCCTTCGCATCCACGTTTATAAACCCTGCTGCCATCGTTGTCCAATGCCTTTCTTCATACATACATAAATTTTCAATAGGTTTCACAAGAAGGAATGCTACAGGGCTCGCAGGAGCATCCTTTCTCGCGTTCAAAGTTCCCTCGCTCCTTTGTTTCAAAGCACCTCGCACTCTCTCATTCATCGCTCTTCCTACGTCTTCCAGAGGAAACTCAAACCCCTGGAATCCGAACCACGGCGGAACTCTCCCTCTCTCTCACTCTCACTCTCCCTCTCTGGCACCCTGTTAAATCGGATTCACGGTGAACTTTTGAAATTGCTTTGGCACCAGCTATGCACCCCCTCGTCATGGTCCCGGTACTGGTATAGGAGGGTACTGGTATCAGTAGCAGAGAGAGAGAGAGAGAGAGGACGATAAACACCCTCGCGGGAAAGCGGCGATCTGGATACTCGTTAAATATCCCAGAGGGTCGTTTTCTAAATAAGTCGAGAGAGAAGTCGGTACGCGAAGCTGTCCAGACCTCCGGCACGATATTTTATTGTAGATTCTCAGGTTCGTCCTTTAATCCAGCATGGCTTAGCTATCGTGAAATCTGGCCATTTGTTATGGGAAATCCCCGATCGCCGGTTCGCCCTAGAGAGAAAAGGTATATATGAAGGTTGTTGCTACCGAGTTCACCCTTTTGAATTACTTACCAGGAACCACATTGCACGGGCTCCTCTTTATACGCAACCTGAATTCTCGTAGCTCCATTAGCCGATTGTATTTTAAGCCAGGTTACCAAGCCACCCTTTATCCTCTACGCTACTGGCTTATTCACCCTGTAGCCTCGAACGGGGATGCTGTGGCGCATCCTAATTGAAAATTGTCTCGCACAATGCTGGGACGATTTTCAATTAGGTCCCGACGACACTCCGAAGGACGGGGCCATCGATAACCGCCGTCTCGACGCCTATTGGTCCCCACGTGCCAGCTTCCTGAAGCGTCCTACGTCAGCTCGGTACAGCGGCACGGCGCGGATACGTAAGCGCGGTGGATGCTGCTGTAAAAAAGAAAACGGAATAAAAGATCAAGAGAAGGAAAGAATTAAAGAGCAGGAGGAACCTCATTTAGCGTGAAAGTGTCGAGAGGTTGAAAAAATAGGGACAGCAAAAGAAAAACAAGAGTTAAGGGACGCGCACTCGAAAAGCAACCCTCGACGATGAGTAAACGCTGAGTGGAAATTACCAGGTCTAACGGGGGATGAAAAGTTTTCAGGGTAATCTTCCAGAAAGTGGACCCGGCCGAGTGCGCCTCTCTCGTCAAGATTTTTCTTTCTTTTCTCTTTCACGTACCTGGTCGCGCTACGTGTTCGTCCACGCGGGGTGAAAACTTCCCTTAACCGTTTACCCCCTGCTATTTGCCCTACGAATCCACGTGGACATTGTCCTTAAGTTTCCCGCGTGTTACCTACGCGGCCCGGGGATCTCCTCGCACACTAGAGATGGACCCTTTGAATTTACACGAATGGAAATCAGAGAGGAGAGACAGTACGGAGCTAGAATTGGCTTGGAGGAGCAAGAGAGAAATCTAAATAGAGGCAGAAATCGAGAGAGAGAGAGAGAGAGAGAGAGAGAGAGAGAGAGAGAGAGAGAGAGAGAGAGAGAGAGAGGGAGTTTGTAGCCGAGAGTCGAGTGCCAACGGATTGTGGTCGACATTAATTCCGGCCCACCGGCTGCCTACAAAGCAGCCCGCTGACCTTAGTTAGATTACGTTTGCGTTACGAACTCAAGCGGAATGCCGCAGCGTAGTTACGCTGCCACAATTTGCAGTTCACACATTGCCAATCTACCATCAGCATCATCGCCACCATAGCCAATACCATTATCAACATCACCAGTAACATCTACATTGATCTTCGCCTTAGCTTCCACGTGTATTCAGCATCCCATGAACTTGCACTTGCATTACCCACGAATCACTCGAAATAATATTTTTTTATTTACCATCGACAATGGTACCATTCCATGCGTATTACGTCATACGTTTCATATATCAATGTAATATTTCAACCAGCTTGAAAGTAATAGCCTATACAATTTTATAATACAGAATCCAATATAACTTCTGCTTATCTATTTACTTGCGTTCCTGCAATATTGTAAAATATAATCTGTGAAGTGATTTTTCGAATCACGGTCCCAAGGCGGCTCCGGTTACCGATACAGATAACGTTCTCGATTTCTGGTTCCCTTCGGGTCGCCACCCTGCTCAGAAGCTACGCTCTCGGGTTGATTCGTACAGTTATGTCAAGGCTCTCGTAAGATTTCGCTATTGTTTAGTTGAGGTCGAGGTGCTCGAATCTGCCGTGGGGAGATAGTCTCGACGTGCCGAGTTGCCCGGCAGAGGAGACGACCCGACGGAGACGTCTCCACGGACCGGCAGGAGCCCGGGTGAGATACCGGCGCTCCGTTTGATTTGGTTTAAAGGGACGACTAGAAGAAGATGGAAGAGTTATCGGTTATAAGGCTCTCGACCAATCAGAATGATTAGTTCTCGGATTTGGCTATTGTCAAAGCAGTCTGTCTCGGGGCACCGACCGAGGTG